GTAATCTTTGCGCTTCCTTTTGAAGTTTAATTTTTTGTTTCGTTTTTTTTTTTTTTATCTATTAGCTTATTTTTGAATAATTTAATTGAAGAGCTTTAAAACGATGTATTTTTTATAAATTACTAATAAAACATACCTTTTCAATTTTCTGTTCATATAATGAAGGCGTAATTGGTTTGTCACCTGCTCGACGACTGATTTTTTGCGAATCATATTCATAAACGGTAATCTAAAAAAATTTGTTTAGCTGTTTGAATTAATCATGCTATCATTTGTACTGTAGCATAAATAATGAGCAATCAAAAAATTGAGAGAAAAAAAAAATCGAAATTTTCAAAATTAATATTTTTTTTTTGAAATTTAAATTTGTTACTAATTTTAAAAAACACAGCAATTCTACCTTGATAGGCGTTATTTGAACCTTTTATAAGTTTTATGTTTAGTATTTATTTCAGGTAAGTTTCTTGTATCAAATTTGAAATTTTCTATTTGTTAAATTAGCATATTATCAATTGTGCAATAATAATGTTGAAGAGAATTCGATAGAAATTAATTAAATAATAAAAATACTGGAATATATATATATATATATATATATGCAATAAATTATAAACAATAAATAGCAAATTGATAACAAACTGTAACTCATATTTTTATCAAAAAAAAAAAGAAATGATAATTTAATTTGGAGAAAATTATTCAATTACCTGTTCTTTTTGTTGTACAGGTGCAATGAATGATGTTTCGGATGATGATTTAACCAAGTAATTTTCTTCCCGTTTCTGCTAAATAATTAAAATATTATTGCATATTTTTTAATTTATATTAATTTAAATGACTTCTTTTCTATTATGCACTGAAATTAATTAGCAAAATAATGGGGAAAAAAAAATAAGCAAAATAACTTTTTGTTTCTTTTTTAATAAATGAGCATTTAATTTTGATGAGAAATTTTCGATAATTTTATTATGAATGTATTTACCATATATTGCTGTAAGAAATTTTAAATTAAAATTAAATTATATTCTAATCAAAATTAAATAAAAAAAAATGTAGAACTAAATTTTAGCATTATTAATTTAATTACATTAAATTAAAATGATTTCAAATTTTTTAGCGCAAAAAAAGAGATAATTAATTGGAAAGGAAACTATAAATTATCATTTTAAAAAAAAAAATACGAATGATAAAAAAAGAAAAAAACATTCTTTTGTTTCTTTTGAAAGTTTTTTTTTGTAAATTTTTTTTCTTTTTTTGAAAGTTATTATTTGTAAATTAAAAAAAAAACAAAACGAAATAAATAATTCATCAATCAGATTTTCTCTTTGTTTCATGCAAATTTTACTGTATTTCTCTAATTTCCTAAGTTTGACCGAATCATCATTTCCTGAATTTTCCTGAAGGTTAATTTTTTAAAATTTTCTGAATTTCAATTTATTCACATTCCTTCTTCTTTTCATTCATGTCCCCAATTTCACCAATTATTTCATATCTTCAATTTTGTTTTCCACCATTAATCGATAAATTTTATTTCATACATTTCAAAATAATTTAATTTTTCTTTATTTTTATTCAGTATTACTTACTTATATTTATTATTCAGTATTATGTCCAGTATTACTTACTTACTTATATTTATTATTCAGTATTATAGTCCAGTATTACTTAACTTACTTAATTTATTTATTAATTCAGTATTATAGTCCAGTATTACTTAACTTACTT